ACAATAAGAAGAAATCTGGTAGAAGTTGCATTTTATCCTGCCTGATAAAGATGTTTATGTGTCTTCTGATCTGAAACTATAGACTGTTGGTAACTGCCTATTGCTGTACATTTTGGGATAAATCTTCCCATTCTTTAATTGAATTTTAGTTCAATTCCTTAATTTAGTCCTAAATGATGCCACATTAGGCATCTGCATTCTGTCTCTTTTAAAAGCTTCTGCAACAGTATCCAGTGAAGACCTTTCCAAAAAATATAAAAAAAGACCTCTGAAACAGATTGTTTTCTGGATACCTTGTTTCTAAACAGAAGCAATTATTTGTCCTTTTTGATGCAATTCTAGTATTATCTGCAGAATAGCAATTCCCTGATAAAAGAGTTGCTTTTATTTTTGTCTCTTAACGGTCTCCGTTTCTTCAAGTTGGGATTTTTGTCTCTGAAAGCGCCTGAACGTAGTCTGTGTGTCCGACCAGAGTAGGATGTTCCCACTGTAAAAGAAATCAGGGATTAATAAACTTACCTGGGCTATCTAAAAAGCAGCAGTCAATTAAGAAACTCTGGAAGGTTTTATTTAGAAGCAAAGGCTATTGGGACTTCAGAAAGATCTCACATTCTCGCTACTTCTGAGCATTTAGAAATACAATTACTGTTTTATTGTTGTATTAACACTACACCAGGGTCAGCCCTACGAATAAATGGAGTAGGTAGCTACTAATGTGCTGTGATTTGAGGAGTATCCAAGAGGTCCCAAAAGTGTTCTTGAAATTCCACCATTAGAGAGCCATTCCTTTGGGTGATGTATTATATCTCTTGTTGAAATAGAAATACTCTTGAGAGAGAAGATATTGAGCCACTGCCAGACATTAGAACCATAGTATACATTAGTTTATGAGTGCATTCCAGCTGAGCTCAGCCCTGAGGGAATTACATACGAATGGAAGTAAATTTTGAAAGTGGGGGGCTGGGAGAGTAGAGACATGTTCAGGTCATAAGCCCATAATTGCCCCCACAAATTGTGGGAGAAGGGTGCCAAAGACAAACTTCATATACCTCATGATTCATCTGCACGTGTCCTTATATGATGGCTAAAGACTGAAAACTGGTTAATATCAATAATGGGATAATGATTGTGGTTCCTTTTTCTATTCTCCTATCTCAACACTTTAAATCAAGGCTTTTGCTTCATGGAGAGCCAGGCCCAACACCTATTTCTTCATGTGTTACTATTTAAAGCCTTTATTTGTTTATTTGTTTGTTTATTTATTTAGGTTAGGCAATGGGGTTAAGTGACTTGGCCAGAGTCACACAGCTAGTAAGTGTTATGTGTCAGAGGCTGGATTTGAACTCAGGTCCTCCTGAATCCAGGGCCAGTGCTTTATCCACTGCACCACCTAGCTGCCCCTAAAAGCTTTATTTTAAAAATTAAATCTCCTTAAGTTATAATGCATTCATGCAGTGGTGTACTGGATTCCTGAAAAGGAGAAAAAATACAAAGACTATGCAGAAATATGGAAAGATCTCTCTGAAATAATGCAGAGCAGAAATAGAACAGACATGCAAAACTTCATAAAAATACTTTTATGAATGGCAGGAGAGTCATTCACTAGTTTCAACTGATGTACAATAATAATAGCATTTATATAGCACTTTAAGGTTTACAGAGCAATTTACAAAGGTCTTATTTTATCTTTAGCCCTGAGAGTTCCATATGGTTATTATCCTCATTCTACAGATGAGAAAACTGAGGTAGATAGCAGTTTAAGGTCCTCCTGACTCCAGGTCCAGGTTGTTATTTTCTGTACTGCCTAGCTGCCTTCATATGTATATGCCTATTTTTATTGTAAATTGATTAAATATACTTTAAAAAATTAGTGTCCGAAATAGAAATCTAAACAAAAACTACAATGAGATGGGACAGCCGCCTTCAAATATTTGAAAGGTTATTAAGTAGAAGACAGAGGAAGCTTATTTTGTGTGGTTCTAGAAGATGGACCCAAGACCAATGGGTGTCATGTCCAACGGAACTAATTTCAACTGAATATAATGAAAAAATAATCTAACAAAAAGAACCACGCAACAATGAACGGACTACTATGTGAAGTCATGAATTCCCCATCACTAAAAGTGTTCAAGCAAAGGCTGGATGGATATATCAGGAATGTTGTAGAAAAAATTTCGGTAAAAAGTAGGAGTTTAGACTGGGTCTAAAGTCCCTTCTAATTCAATTCAATAAACATAAATTAAACGTTAATAATATTAATTAAATAGAAATATATTAAATAGAAATTAATTACTTAATTTGATGGATTGATTAATAACATAAATAAAATTAAGCATATACTGAATGCAGATCACGTTGCTAGGCTCTGTGGGAGATATAAAGTTTAGATAAAATACCTTCACCAAAGACAGGCAAATATGGAACTATCTTCTACTTGGCCCTGCCTGGTCCAGGGGTAGAGCCTGACCTGGTAGGACTTATGATGACCCTCTATAGTGAGGTAGGTGGGGATCAGTTTCAAAGATCTAAAGGAAAGAATGAGATAGTGTTGAGAGTTGGAGAGGGGGGAGGCAAGAGAAATGTCAATACAGAGAGCCAAGCCTAAAAATGGAGAGTTATCAACTGATGTCTGTGGGAGACAGAGAGAGATTTGTCCCCCAGGCTGTCAGAGAATCAATCAATTAATCAGTAAGAAAGCATTTTGTCAAGTACCTCCAGTGTGCCAGGTACCCTGCTAGCCAATGGAGATAAAAATGAAAGACCTTGCTCTCAAGGAAGTTATATTCTAGCGGAGGACACATGTACATACGTTGGTATATGTAAAATGTATGTGAAATGAATACAAGGAAATTAATAAGCAAAAAGTATTTAAATATGTTCAGATAAACACAAGTGGGGCAGAGTCAAGGGAGTCATATATCAGCAAACAAGGGTGGAGATAGATAGTTCTCAGCTAAGTCTGGATCCAGGGGTGAAGTCAGAAGTCAGCCACAGAAAAAGAGCAAGATGGAATCCGAGGCCTGGGTGCCTGAGTTCAGTAGCCTTCAGCCTAGGCTTTCCTCATCTTTTGGCTTCAGACATGGCTTTTTGGAGCTGCTGAGCTCAGCAGAGATGGTAATAATAATAACTTAACATTTACTTGGCACTTTAGGGTTTAACAAAAACACTTTTCCTGTGGGCGAGGCAATATATTTCCTTCATCCACAACTCTGTGTGATAAATTCATGAAAATAGTGGAGTCCCTAAGAATGCCACACAAAATCTAATGTCAGGCAGTGGTGGGACTGAGGGAAATGAAGGATGCATATGTTTGAGCACAAAGGAAAAAAAAGTACCAAATAATTCATACAGACTTCCTGAAGACATCTGAATTTTCTAAATGGAGAGACAAGGCATAAAAGACTATGTTGGTTAAATCTGCCTAGTAATTCAGTAGCAGAAATTGGGCTAAAGCTCAAGTATACTTGTTCCCAGCACCCATTTTACCTAACAGCTCCATCAATGTGGTTCCCCTCTCCACATTTCATGAATGGCTGGAAAATGTATCATTTCGTAGCTACTCTTTTGTGGCTTAACTTCTGCACTCTTAGCTAGGATGGTCCTCAAAAAATAGATACATGGACAGGACCTTCTCTGCCTTCTGTCACCAGATTATCCTAGGAAACAATGCACCAGCTCACCCTGGATGCCCAAGTCAGGAGGGGCCATTGCTGACACCAAAGCTCTTACTCCTGCCTTCACCATCAGTGAGTCTAGGAGGATGAGATTCCGCTCCTGCTAGTACCTAATCTACCTTGTTTAACTATCTAAAAAACAATAATGCCTCATTTCTCCGTGACGATCTAGCATCAAGACCCCATCTTGAACCAGGACTTCAGACGCCAAGCCCAGATAGGTGCTGGATTTCTTATGGAAATTAGGCGTCCTCTGCCATTATGGACTGAAGCAAAGAAACCTGGACCATGCCTGATTTTAATTAGGCCACTCCAGGCTTAGGCCTCAGATATTTACCAACCCAGGCATCCAACAAGATTTCTCTGCTGCCTCCCACACCCTGCTCTCCAGTGTGTGCAGAGAGAGATGGCTGATACTGCTATCCACGCACAGATGTTTCCTTTTGTCCTCAAAGGAGCCTAGAAAGCCCTACGCATCTGCTACTTCCCTCTTCTTATGACTAGCAAAGTCAGATATCCTTCCCCCATAATCCCTGTGATTCAGAGTTGCCATCTGCTGAGACGAAACTCCCCTTTCCATTGCTACCACTCCCTTCGTTTTCATCTTTCTCTACCTTAGTTGCCATTTTTCTTTGCCCTTTGAAATTCCCACATGATACCACATAAAAAAACCTCTCCTTCATCCTAGATTTCTTTGCCTCATTCTTACCATCTTATGCATTTTCCTCCTCAAGCCCCTGTATCCCTGGCCACTCCCTCTAGTACCTTGACTCTGCCATCCCCAAAGCTATAACATCATGCTTCTTCTTTTCATAGCCATGTTCATAGAAAAAATCAGCCACATGCTTTCTCTTTGCGACTAGCTTTCGTGTCTCAAACCCCGGAAATCAAAACACAAACCCTGTGCCTTGACCACTGCAGAAATGGCTTTCTCTGAAGTTGAAATCTTAGGGACTTTTCTCAGCCTTTGTCCTAGCCTGGGAGGATTTCCTCAAAGTGCTTCACCTGTTGTAGCACCTCCAATTAAGGCAACAGAAGCGCTGCTTCAGAAGGGGGTTCCATACCAAGAAGACCAAACACAAGGGTTTTTTCAAGAGCTGAAGGCATGAATGAATGAGATGCAGCCTGAATGAGGGGAGAACCTCAATCAGAGGAGGCACGGAAGTTGGTTGTGCCACTCAATGCTTGTGTATAACCAGCCTGAGCTAGATAATGTCTTTCAGGATGGGTTCTCCACTGATACTGTTATTTCTGTTGGAGCTAATAGGGTTTCTACTTGTTTACATTAACCTGTAACTGCAACATATAACTTATTTCTTCTTTCAGTCTTGTGAACCTTGCAAGGGGAGTTGGTGACAACATCTTCCAATGGGGGAGAGGTTATATAATGGTGTTGCCAGGTTATTTGAGTGGCAGCAATAAACCAGAAAGGTAAGAAATCCCCCAGGCCCTTTGAAAGGTGATTTCCAGCTTATCTCCCCTAGAAACTGCTCAAATGATTCTCCTAGGTTGAGAATAGGCTTTCTCTCAAGGTCTAAGCTGTGTATTTTCTGGGATTTTGTAATCTGCAGAATTTCCCTGATTTCTTGGTGCTAGTTTGTTTAGATAAACAGATTTACTCACTATTTGCTTGTTGTGATGGACTTCTGTGTAACTCGTATTTATTGGAAGGGACTAAGCCAGGAGTGGGGAACCTGGGGCCTCAGCTTTGAGGCCACATGTGGTGCTCTAGATTCTCAAATGGATTCAGTCAAAAGGCCGCACTTGAGGACCCACGTGTGGCCTCAAGGCTACAGGTTCCCCACCCTGGGACTAAGCTATCGCATATAAGCTAAGGACTTACCCTTCCCTTTAAGAATGCCCAAGGAAGCAGCTTTCCTTCTATAATCATATTCCTTGTTGTTCAGACATTTCAGTTGTCTCCAACTCTTGGTGACCCCATTTGGAGTTCCCTTGGTGAAGATACTGGAGTGGTTTGCCATTTTCCTTCTCCAGCTCATTTTACAGATGAGTAAACTGAGGCAAATAGGGTTAAGTGACTTGTCCAGAATCATACAGCTAGTAAGTATCTGAGACCAGATTTGAACTCAGGTCTTCCTGACTTCGGGCCCGGCACTCTATCCACTGTACCACCTCGTTGTCCTGCTCATATTTGTACCCCTAAACTAGACCATAGATATTTTAGGAGCCAGACAGATATAATTCTAGCCCAATACCCTGCCTACAGATAGGCAAAGGTAGGAATAAGTGCCCAGCCGTGGCCCTTTTCCTGCTCCCCTCAAGGATTTACAGTTTCCCTTGGAAAGGAGTGGGCCAGTTATCTATCCATGCTACCCACAAGCCAGGTCTTTATATTTAGACAACCCATGTGAACATACCTGTCTTAGCTGTAAAATGAATGGATTGAACTGAGTGACCTCTAAAGCCCCTCCTAGCTATAAATCTATAAACCTGGGAGTCTGTGATAGACAAGTTATCTTTGGCTCTCTCCCAGTACCTAGCACTAGAACACATGGAATAGGTACTTTAATATTTATTCAAGTTGTTTCATGATTAAAATCTCATATGACAGTTTCCTTGAAGTAGGTCATATTTATGCCAGCATAGAAGTTCACTATAATTTTATAGGGCTTAAATGATTCTAAAAATCAACCTGTTAAAATAATAACAGATCTGCAAAGATCTTTCACTAATACTTTGCTCCAGGGAATGCTTCACTGTGGCCTGGAGGTAACCCTGGGTTCTCCAAGGCTGTACCATAGGAGAGCAGCAGTACAGACAGGTGACTAACTACCCTTCCAGCAGAAAGGCTCATTTCTGGAAGGTTGGCCATCAAGTGACAAATGTCCTCTGGGGCCATAGCAATTTATGCAACCATCAACCAATAGGTGAAGGGCTTATAATTTCCTCTGATAAAAGGAAGTAATGATAAAACTGACATTTCCATAGGACTTTAAGGCTTATAATCATTTTATATACATTATCTCATTTTAGCCTGGCAATCTAGGTGCCATTATTATGCCCGTTTTATAGACGAGGAAGCCGAGGGTAGGCGAGGTGCCTCACCCAACATCACACTGCTCAGGTCTTCCTGAGCTCAAATTCAGTACTCTATCCTATGCCTATGAAATCATGGTTCTTTAAGTAGAGAAATACACCAGACTGTGTGGTGGATTACATGAAACTATTACCTTTGAATCTTTCCCTTTGCCATCTTACTCTTGGAATCTGATGAGAATGAATTAATGGTTGCAGGAGATTGTTTATAAAATAACCCCACATTTAAAAAGTAACACACCCTACCAGTAAGCTGTAGGTAAAGCTGTTCATTACTTTCTATTATGGAGAGCTGAGAAATAATTACAGGCAGGGACAAAAGTGTAGACCTTTGATGCGGAACTACTCAGACTTAACTTTGAATTTTCTGAGTCTGCAGGCATAAGACTAAACCTTGGCACGTCTCTGCATAGCTAGAATGTTAGATCTCATTTCCTTGAGTGAAATACTAATCTGCCATATGGTATCATTTGCTGCTGAATATTCCAACGTGGCTTTGTTTTTAAGTCGGGGAAAGATTTCACCACACGAAAAGCATGTGATGAGGTTGTTTGCTAGACAGATCACAGTTGCATTCTGCTCAGTATGAGCTGTAAATAAACAAGCATTCCCTGAAAAATCTGTGACAAGCAGAGGAAGAGACATGCTCAGCACGAGCTACCAAAGGGAGTGGTAACTTCTTGGCCGTGTGCGTGAACCATCTGGACCCCCTCCTGAAAAGAATTTCCCAGATAGACTCCTGAGGAAACCACCTTGGTTCAGAAGCGCTGTTCCTCTAGTTCTGATTGACAGAGTAGATGTAGAGAAATACCTAGCCCTGACTGGCATCACATGAAGGTGTTGCACTCAAAGGAGACACTCCAGCCAAAATAACCACTGTCATGGTGACTGGTGGGCTGCCAGTGACCCTTCTAAAGAGAGTTCTAGAAGAAACCTTGGAAACTGGAGATACGGGAGTCTTCCTTTCTACCGACAAGCTACCAAAATGCATAATAAAAGTTAGGACCTCGCTAGAAGTAAAAAGATCAGAGAACACATACAGTTAAGTAACCTTTTGAACATGGTTTCAACTTGTTTTCCAGAATGGCTGGACCAGTTCACAGCTCTACCAATAGTGTATCAATGTGCCTGTTTTCTCATAGTCCCTCCTACATTCATCTTTTTTCTTTTTTTCCTGCTTTGCCAATCTGTTAGGGGTGAGGTAGAACCTTAGAATTGCTTTAATTTATTTATATCTATATTTATTTATATTTAATTTCTCTAATTATTAGTAATTTGGAGTATTTTTTCATATGGCCATAGATAACGTCCCTTTGCATACCCCTTGACCCATCATTGTCAGTGATAGGCCTAAACCCCGAAGAGATCAAAGAAGGAAGAAAAGGATCCAAGTGTACATACATATTTATAACATAATTTGTGGCAGCAAAAAGTTATGGAAACTAAGAAGACACTCCATCTTCTAACTCTAGGCATTCTCTTGGCTGTCCCCTATACTTGGAATCCTCTACCTCCTCACCTCTGCCTACTGGCTTCTCTGGCTTTCTGTAAGTCCCAGATGAAATTCTACTTTCGACACAAAGCTTGCCCTGATCCTCCTTAATCCTAGTGTCTTCCTTCAACAGTTAGTAAATCAGGAAGTGTTTACTGAGTGTCTACATTGTGCCGGACACTGTGCTAGGGACATAAATAAGAAAAGGGAAGATGGTAAAGGAGCTTACAATCAATGGAGGATGACCATACATAAAAGGAAGATGAAAAGGGGATGGAGGAGGACCCACCTGATGTTCTTGGAGTCAAAACCAAGCAGAGCAGCTGGTGGGAAATTAAGTTGGCTAGAAAAGGCTGAGTCCTTTATTCATCACTCACTCCATCCTCCAGCCCTCCAATCAAAGGGGAGAAGCAGCTGAGGATCAAAGCTGAATCAATCTCCATGATGATGAGATTTCAGGTGATGACCTTATCTTGGAAGTTAAAACCAAGCAGAAAAGCTGATGGGGAAATGAAGTGCCCTTAGTTGGTTATTTTAATTTTATCCTGCAAACAGCTTGTTTGTACATTGTCTCTGCCTTTGGACTGTGAGAATCTCTGCTCCTTGAGATCACAGACTGTCTTTCTCCTTTCTTTGTCTTCCCAGCACTTAGCACAATGTCTGGTATATACTAAGTCTTAATAAATGTTAATTGACTGAATGACTGAATTGGGGAATGTCTGAACAAATTATGTTATGTAAATGTAATGGAATACTACTGTCCTGTAAGAAATGAAGAAAGACATAAGTTGCAGAGAAACCTGGGAAGACTTTATGAACTGATGCAGAATGAAATGAGCAGAACCATGAGAACAATATATGCTACAACATAAAAAAAAGAAAACTCAATTCTGAACCACTTAAGAACGCCGATCAATGCATTGCTCAACCATCAAAAAGAAAATAATGCTTGATAGTTGAAAAAATTTTGAATAAGAAGGCACTAGACTTGGAGTCAGGAGGACCTGGGTTTAAATCCTGCCTCAGACACTTGCTAGTTGTGTGATCTGGGACAAGTCACTTAACCTGTTTTTCAGTTTCTCATCTGCAAAATGGGACAGGAGGAGGGGGTAGGGTATTAGCCCTCTAAGGTCATTTCTAGCTCTGAATATCCCTTCAAATACTTGGAGACTAATAATTCCACTCACATCCATCCCATGATGTTCTGTTCTCCAGATGAAACATCTCCAGTTCCTTCAATAAATTCTTATGTGATATGAATGTAAGACCATCCCAGTTTCTTTGACTATCATGCTGGAGGGATAAGGAGGTCATTCAGAGTTGAAGAACACACCAAAAAAGCTGGTATTTGAGGCCCCCAACCACTCTCCTTTCTGCTGGTCATCTGGCCTTCTGATCTTATCCTGGTCCAGTCTATAACCCTGAAACCTGGTGCCTTCCCAGCTCCTTAAGCTTTGATTTTCCTACATTCCTGATCATGGCTCAGTAATCTCAGATATTCTACCTTTCCAAACTCAATTTATTCCTTGCTCCTTCTTTCCCCCAGATCTTGACCTCTCTGTTTCCAGCCTTGTGAAATGGACTCACACACAAGCATTCTCAAGCTCAATGACTCCTTAAGCTCTGGATCTACTTGTAGGCACTACACCACTCAGGTAAGCATTTGTCTAAGTGGAAACCACTGGGGACACAGAACTGGGCCAGTCAGATATCGATCTCTGCCAAGGTTACCAGTATCACTCCTGACTTGCTGATATCCCTGCACAGGGATAGGCACAGGGATCTGGTGTACTTTCATCTCAGGACTCAGAGTACTAGCCAAGGGCATCAGCTGCCATATTCTGCCAGGGTCCATTCTCTCCACCTTCCTAAACCTTCCAGGACTGAACCTAAGGATCCACACCTGGACAACACACCACTCACTAACAACATACACGGTTCACAGCCTTCTGACCATGAGCAATCTTGTAGAACCAGTAGGTACTAAGTACTTTTTTCTCTCCGTTTTTAATTTTTATTTTCAATATATTAAATTTACTTGTAAAAACATTCTAAAAATGCATTGGTTTTCCTTTTTAACGAAGCATAATAAAACACAACCCCAGCCCAATATTTGTATTAACTAACTAATCATTCCTTGTGCTTACATAAATTCAAACTTTGCTCCTGATATGCTCTGTCACCAACATCTAGAAGCTGACTTCCACATTGCCTGCTCCACAGCACATCTTGATGCTTTTTAATGATTGGTTATAAACAGTTTCTATCATTTTCTCCTTCTACCCTCAATGATCTCTCATTCAAGACAGGTATCTTCAGAATTCAATACCCTGGCCTGGTCACCTAACACCAATTCTTAAGTGTTCCCTTTCTGGACAGATTGGTTTTGACATTCTTGATCTGAACTATACCTAACTATGATTAATTAATGTGGGGGGGGGCATGAACTTTCATTAAGTGACTGCAATAATAATAGGGGCAGCTATGTATCAAAGTGGATAGAGCACCAAGGCCCAGAGTCAGAAAGACCTGAATTCAAATGTGGCCTCAGATATTTACTAGCTTTGTGACCCTGGGTGAGTCACTTAACTCTGTTAGCCTGTTTCTTCATCTGCAAAATGAATTGGAGATGGAAATGGCAAACCACTCCAGTATCTGCCAAGAAAACCCCAAATGGGGTTATAAAGAGTCAGACATGACTGAAAGATTTAACAATAACAACAAACTACAATAATAATAATAATTAGCATTTACATAGCATCTTAAAGTTTGTAAAGTGCTTTACAAATACCGTCTCATTTTATCCTCCTAATAATTTTGGGAGGTAGATGCTATTGTCCTCACCTTACAGATGAGAATACTGAGGCAGATAGAAGTTAAATGACTTGAATGTGGTCATATAGCTGATAAGTGTCTGGGGTTGAGGTTGAACTCAGGTTTTCCTAACTCCAGGTCTGGAGTTCTGTTCACTGGAGCGATTCAATTTTTTCTGTTTGGTCCCAGAAGACAGAACCAGGGCAAATGGGGAGGAAGTTTCAAGAAGACAAGTCTAGTCCTGATTGTCAGGAAAAATCTTTCTTATAATTACAGCCCCAAAGTGGAATGTGCCACCAAATAGGTGCCTTCCATTGGAGGGCTTTAGGCATAGCTACATGGCCCCCTTTCCCATGTGTTATAGAAGGGATCCTTGAGTCCAAAAGAGCTGAGTTCCACTCTGGCCTCAGACACTTACTAGCTGTGTGACCCTGGGCAAGTCACCTTCACCTTTGTTTGCCCCAGTTTCCTTATCTCTAAAATGGAAATCATAATGGCACCTACCTCCCACTTTTGGTAGGAAGATCCCATGAGACGGTAATTGCAAAGCACTTAGCACAGTGCCTGGCACATACTAGGCACTATATAAATGCTTATTCCCCTCCCCCTACTCTGAAACATATTTGAATGTTTTGGTTTCTAAATGCCTCCTGTGTTTATAACATTAAAAAAAAATTCCAAGCTTCAAAACATCAAAAAAGCTTAATACAAAAAATAAATTGCTTAGCAAAACTAATTTTCTCTATTGAAAGCTAATTGTTTTTTAATAGCATGACAAAAGAATAAGCAGCCACTTCTACTATTTTAGCCAGATATCATAATTAAAATTCACAGAGACTTTGGGGATCTGCATCATGCCAGTCTGACACAGCTCCACAAAACAAGTTGTAGCCTCCTGAAAACAGAGATGATAATGGAAATGGTAATTAAGTGTAACTCAAGTGCTGGGATCTACCACCCTGTTCAGAAGTTAATAGCTACCCTGGGGCATCTTTAACAGACATAAAAAGTTAAGTGTGATTTTTCTGGAATGATTGCCCTAATATTTCAGAAAGCTCTAATTAGCAGCTAATTGTCATGGTGTCCCATCATCCCATAGCCCTCACACAGATGCTGTAGCTTCACCAGGTCTATTGTGGTGGAAGAAGGTGCCGAGACTTTTCAAAGAGGTTTTAGATGGTAGTGTCCCAACAATTGTCTAAGACTAAAAATCACAGAACGGTTGCTTATCTGTATCAAAAGAGGAAGTTTCCTCATAAAGAGTTCCCTCCACCGACGAAATCACAGGTTTAGACATACACATGTATATATATGTAAGTGTATGCATATATATGTATATATGCATATACTATGTTCCAAAAGTCTTAGTATATTTTGTGTGTGTATACACACATATATACGTACATATATATACATAATGTGATATAATAGTACATAATAGGGTATGTTCAGGAAAAATCCTTACAGACTGCTCTAGGAAAATTTGAGAAGGAAGAGAATACTTTAAGAAAAGTTGTCTCCTGGGAAGCGGCACCTAAACTGAGCCTTGAAAAAGAGGATTTGGATAGCCAGGGATGAAAAAGGAGACCTTGGGGGACAGTGTGGGAAAGTGATGTGACGTGGTAAGTGGAGATAGGGGAACAGCTTAGAAGAACAGTTTGGGTAAAATATAGAGTCTATGAAACATAAATACTGTGAAATAGAATTAAAAAAGGCTGGTTGGGTTAGCATGGGTCAAAGGGGATACTTGACTCTAAAGCTAGATGGAAAACCAAAATGACAAGCTATCTCTTATATTAAAAAAGTCAATAAATATTTGTTAAATTAAATTGAATGGGAAACCAATATCCATTTCCTGATGGATTGGGGCAGGGGGGAGTAAGGAGAGTCAGGGCAGAATTGATGGTCTTTTTCATGATTTTTTTTGTTATGCCTGGAATGGGGAAAAGTGAGGGGAGTTGCATAAAGGTAGAGCAGATTGTGTTGGAGATAGAAGCCAGTTTTATTTGACTTTTTCTTTTTCTTGTAGGTTGAGAAAGACCCTCTAAAGCTAATAAGTCTAAGCAAGCAGAGATATGTAAAATTCTTCTTATTTTGTTGGCTTATTTGGGGAACTTTGTGAAATGTTCCTTGTTTGGGAATCTGGCAAAACTTTGTATTTGTAGCTAATTGACTTTCATCTGTACATGTGGGATTGCATATGATATTCGGGTCTCAACTGTATGGTACTGGGAAAGCAAGAAGGGAAAGGACATTGCTTATGCCTCCTCAGAAATCATCAAGAACTATTCCAATTTGGGGATGAGGACTGTATTTAAAAAAAAAACACACTCCTGTCTATTTGCCAGGGGCAGCAAGTCTCAAACAGGGGGAAATATGTAAGCTGGACAGGCTTTTTGATCATGCCTAGTTTGGCTCACGGGGAGTCCTGTGCATCCCCTACCACACGGTTGAGTGTAGCCTCCTGATTGGCTGCCTGTGTCCTTGAGACTGAGCTGTTCACTCTCTTTTCCTCCAAGTGCTTTCCACCATCTTTCTGGCTGTTCTCCGAGTGGACGCCAGGAGCTGAACTGAACCAGGGAGCGGGGAACGAACATCCTTCCCCGTTCTCTATCTTTTACTCTGGCTCCAGTTGGGCCTGGGGGTGTTTGTTTCTGTTCTTCATTGTTTGTCCTCAGTTTCAGGTGCCCAATGTGCACAAGATGGGAGTTCCAGGCATGGCAACGTTGGAGCCAGGAACGCAGGGGTGGTGGTGCATCCAGGCTGCCTGCCATTTAAGCCCTGAGAAGTCAGAGTGCCTGGAACACAAGCTCAAGGGAGGTGTTGGAATTGGAATTGGGACCGTATATTCTATAGCAACCAAACTAAGTTGAGGGCCTAGTCCTTTTCCCCTCCCCAGAGACCAAGATGGTTCAAGGGCAGGAGGAGGCTTATGGCTCCTACGTGTTGGGGGAATAAGTTTGTATATTTGTGATTATACCTTCTGAAGTTAATATTCCCTTTGTAAAAGCTAAAATAATAATAACAGAACAAAGGAATTTGAAAAGCTTAATCGTAGCTCAACTCTCCTGAATCCCTTTCCACCAATATGGACCTGTAATTAGTTATTCTCTCTCTCTCTCTTTTTTTTTTTTTAAGGCAAGGGGGTTAAGTGACTTGCCCAGGGTCACATAGCTAATATTAGTTATTCTCTTGATAGAATGTTATACAATGTTCCCTGGTCAAGAACTAGATATACTATTTTACAGATCATTCCTTGCATAACTTCTGTTAAAATTAGATGAAAAACTGTTACTATGAGCCATCTTCCAGGATATAAAAATAGGTTTTTCATTTTTTTTTAAAAAAGCCACAATCAAACAAAACCCATCCATTTGAACACAGCTAGCTATCATGGCAATTTACCTGTCTTTTTCTCAGTTCTTTACCTTATGCCAAGAGCTCTCCAAATGCAGAAGCTATGAAGAAACTCCTCTATCCCACATGTTCCATCACTGGTAGCCTTGACAGCTTAATTCTATTCCTAGAATGACCCAGAACATATTCCATCACCCATCTATGTATCGAAATGCTTGTCATGGGAAGATCAAATATTTGCTCCCCCTACCCTGCAGAATCCCCCTGAGGTCTGATTTCTAGCAGATGCTCAATCTATCTTGGTCTGTATAAGGCAGGCCCCATGGAAGAGGAACAGGAAGGAGAGGTGAGGAATTGGTCCTTCTTTACTAGGCTGTCTCAGATCTAGGCCAAGCTGGGACAGTACATTCTAGCTCTTTCCACATGATGCTAAACATCTGTTTGGAAATTGAGAAATTCAGTAAAAAATTCCAGTGTTTCCAAA